CATAATATGAAAATTAGACTCCAAGAATTTTGGCTGCCCTTGTGGGTTGTTTTGTTTTATTTTTTTTTTAAACTTCCAAAAGCTCACAAAGCTGTGACTCAGGTGCAGTGGGAAGAATGTGTGACCCTGCCACAGCTGATCAGGAGCTCTTCTGAACTCTGGGAAAGCAGCATCTCTCCAGAAGCACCCAGGAGGTGAGAGACTCATGCTGGGCCACAAGCAACTCTGAACGTGTCATCAGACACCAGGAGTACACTGGGCCTGCCATGCATTTTAAGAATAACATAGAGGCATGGAAGTGCTACTGATGGCTTGCTGGGACCCAGAAACCCTCGAGAGCAGCTCACTCTGTGCCCGGGACAACCTTGCGTTTGCTTTGCTGGAAAGCCTGTAATCACTTTCCCTATAAGGACGAGAGGCTGTGCCAGTTTGTCTGCACTTTGTTACAGCTGAAAATGATAAGGTGCTTCCAAAGTGTTGTGTTACAATAGCTGTACCTTCAGTTTAAGGATTTATCTTCCTTTGCTGTAGATAAAACTCCATTCCTTGAACAAATTAGGTTTGCTTATCATTCAACGCTCTACCTAATGGTTTCAGCTGTGTGTTTCTGCATTTATTGAAGCTGGGGCATTCCACAGATAGTTCTCATTGATTTGAGAAGCGAGCCAGAAATCCAGTCATATTTTATCCAAAATGAGAATAGGGCAAATTAATGATATAATTAGAATTATCAGAACTCTTAAATCTTAAAGGACAGGTTTAAATGCAGAATGATAACATTTTTAAAGGGGTATAAAACACAACTCGTTTATAAACAGCAAATGTATTGTGAAGTGATGAGCTGAACCTTTTCTTCATTAGTGTAGAGAAGCTGACCACTGGCATGCTGTTAGTGTACGGATCTCTAATGATGTCTCATCAGGATCACTCTGCGTATTTCAAAAGGCAAAATCTGCTATCCCAAAAGCTATTTAACCATGAATCCTTGGGTCAAAATTATGGCTGAAAAACAAGAGCTGGAGATCACAGGTATAGTTTTTGGGTAGGGTTAAAGGAAAAAAGAAAAACAAATGAAAAACGTCATACATCACTATAGAAAGGGCACAAAGGAATACAAAGAAACACAGAAACAGCAAATTCCATGCTGGTAAAGATGAATTTGCTGCACAGAATTGTCCTTCAAAATCTGAACATCTGAAAACCCATCACAGGAAGTAAGGGTACAAGGTATTCCCAAAGCCTACATATATCAGTTCAACATATTTAAATAAAAACCTCAACATCAGATTTAGGGAACAAAATAAAAGAGAAATTGTTCTGTGGTGGAAAAAGTTTGAAGAAAAAAAAACAACATAAACCTATCCTATCTTTTACTTAAAGACCATTTTCTTTTCAGCATCTTGTTGACTTTCTGCCCAGAAACTCCAGCCTAAGACTCTTGATTGAACAAGTCACAAGAGAATCGTGCATTTGCAGAAGGCTGTCCAAGCAGGAGAGATGCTTTGTATACCACTTTAGGTCATAGTCTAACTGAATAAACACAGCCTCTTAAATTTTTATTAAGTTTGAATAAGGATTTATATGTTCAGAAAAATGGTGCTTGGAAGCAAAATGTAAAAGAAAGAAAAAAAAAAAAAGAAAGAGAAAGGAATGAGGAATGTTATATAACCAAAGGAAAGCAGAGGTGTTTCTTGCTTTTACTGTTCTTAATTAAAATTTAAAAAGAATAAAAAATAAAAAGAACCTCAACACTGAAACCAGGAAGGCATGGTGCATTGAATGTCCTTGGTGTTGATTGCTCTGGGACAGGAGCCGTCCTCTGCGCTGCTGCCTAAGCGCCTGATTTGGTCTATGAAATGCCCTTTTCTCACACTTTTCCTCCTGGCACCGTCCCTTCTGCACCCTGTACAGACACAGACTGCTCTCTCCTCCCAAATACCACAGAAGTTGTCGAGATCAATGCTGGGAAACCACAGTTTTTCCAAAAGCTCTCTCAATGCTGTTGAAGAGGCTCAAGAAAGTCATCCATAACACAGAAAGCCAACAGCATTAGTGTTTCTATTTCTGTTCCTTCTTCCTGCTCCAAGATGAGTTCTGATGCAAAGCCATCTCAGCTTCTTGCAGCCAGCTACTGAAGATACTCCATCTCCCAAGATTCATGATACAGGAATTAAGGAAGTTTCTCCACATATACTTTTGTCCCTTCAAGTGTCCCTGGTGTGATGCTGGAATTTTCCAGCTGCTTTTCTGGCACATTCCAGTTACTTAAATCAATGGCTCCCAAATGAGGCAACTAACAGACAGGGTGCCCTTTATTCTGCAGCTCTGTGATACTCAAAATTTTCCTGCACTTGTAGGATTACCATTTCTCATCACCTGATGAGGACTGTAATACACTCACAGTCAGATAAATGTCTCTGCTTAGATTTAGTTGTTCACGAGAAAGATCCCATGGGCGATGCTTCATGTTTAATATTTAAGTCAAGCGAATCAAATTTGATAACCAAATAGACTCCCTATGGCAGGGACAACATCCTTACAAAAGACACACAGAATAAACTCTGGAAGTACCACTGGCAAATGTTAACTGAATAGAGAGTCTATCCTGGGCTTTAATTTTCTATTTTGTACTGCTTGCAATTAAAAATAAATGATATAAAGCTGGTTTATAAAAACACTAGCAAACAAAAAAGCTCTTTACTTGAATTAAGAGCAACAGCCCATAAGAGGAATATACTCCACAACATTTAGAGTTCTGGAGGGACTAGTATACATATAGGGATTTTAATTTTCCATGGCCTCTAAGTGTTATAATCTCTATCAACTGTGTGCACTCTGAGCCCATGACTAATGCTATTGCTTGAACTCTCATTGGTTGCTGGCTTCTTTCTTCTTTAACACTGTTTTTAAACCTACACTGATTCAAGAATTTGCAGGAATAAAAAAGCTTTTACAGCATCTCAAGTCTGAAACACAGGTCTGTTATAGGACACTGTGTCAACAAATCACAGATGTCTGAGTCAATGCAATCAGTGTGAACAGCAATAACTTGTCTCAGAGACACAGGCACAGAAGAAAGTTGGCAAAATTACAGTTTGATAGCCATTAAAAGATGACAGAACATTCAGATGTCAGGACTGTCTTCCTGATTTTACAACTAGCATTTGTTTATTTGTATCCATGACAAATACATCACCACACCTCAGGATAATTACTTCTGTAAGGTCACTTTGTGTTTATCTTGTGTGCTTACTTGCAAGTTATCTTCTCTAGGATCCTCTAAAGTTTTGAGCTCTCTATGTTTTTCAACTCACACACCGCATCTTTAGAGACATATTCTTAACAAAGTTGGTTTCTCCCTTTGCTTTTCAGTGCAAAACTGCCCAGGCAGAACAGCCCTGGCAGCTCTGCTGCTACACAAACATCTGTTTTAGTAATGCTCTGTTAGCAACACCTTTTATGTCCTGCTTAGTTATGCTAAAACAGTGTTTCACTCTATAGGACTACAAGAGTGAAGAGATTTGATCTCATTCATTACCATTAACCACTCTTCCTACAATTTGAGAAATACAGAATCATATAACCAGATAGGGAAAAAGAGGAGGAGATATAACCATTTTTTCTATGATTTAAGAACTTCCAACTGTCCAAGCTGATGTTGAGGTTAGTTCTGTGACAGATTGCTTGGAAAATGCTGCAATGGAAATATCTAATATTTCTACCTAGAACTTCTTGAAGCAGCATAAAAGACCTGTACAAAACACCCACGTTGTGGAGAGTGGCTAACTTGCAGACTGGGGCCATCCTTGCTTTCTCAGTTCCTTATCTGAGAAATCACTGACCCACAGAGCCCTGTGCAACTCAGGATAACAACAGCAAGGTAACAAGCCCCGAAAATCTCTGCTCACCTGATCTCAGTTCTCTCTTGAGGTCACATAGTTATTCTTGATTTCTCTGTCTTAATGGTAAGCCACTATCATGATTTAATGGACTTTCATTGGCAAAACATACAAAATACTGAGGCTGGCAAAGTATATAAAGGTCCCCTTCAAAAAAGTCACTGCATCTGAGACAGGAATCTGTGAACATTTATCAAATAAAAAGATGAGGTAAGAGACGGTATCCATAGACCAAGTTTCCAAAGAATTAATGGGGAAGAAGAAAGAGGAACCTATATATCAAATGAGAATCTCCAAGTTTGCCATGAGCTATCAAACTAGTCTGGAAAGCAGATTTCTGCTCCATTGAGTCTTTAATAGCATTGGATAACTAAGATAAACAGAGACGGAAGGGCTGTCTGAGACACATACAAAATTATTGAATTATGACATGTTTGAGAAGTTATTTACTTTACAGAGTATTTACACAAGGTTCACTTCCTCTTCAAACATAAGCTCAAATATTACAAAGATTTTTTTTCCCCCTTAATGAGGAGACCACATTCAACAGTCCCACAAATGTCCATAATTAACTTTTTTTAAGGCACATTCCTAGGAAAGTTTTCCAGTCAGTCACTTACCCAGAGCCAAAGCCATACCTAGGAAACCCCAAACTTTCACTATGCAGATGAGACACACGTGGAGAAGAAAACATGAGACATCAAAAGGAAGAGGAAAAAGAGGAGATGGGGTAGAAAGTGATGACTGTGAGATTGGAGTTTTACTTTCTGCTGTGCTATAGGCATCTGACAGGCTTTATGCTGAGCTCTTAACCTCTCTTTGCCTCTATTCATCTGCTAAATTACACCCTTTTTTGTCATGTGAGACCTGTAGGATGCAGAAACTATGCAGAAACTATGGGGAAACTATGTGTGTGATTACCTGGTAGAAACAGATACCAAGCATTTTAATGAATACAGGTCACTATATCCAGTGTAGAAATTTTAGATCAGGAACTTTGGTAAGAGAACACTTCCTGTCTTTGTAAGAGAAAATACCATCTATTTTAAAGCAAATTATTTGTTCTCAGCTCGCTGGCTCATACACAACATTCCTGCTTACCTGGGAAGTGTCATGATTGAATATAACAGCATTCAGGTCTCCACAATTATAATGTTTGATGAGATCTTCAGTGGTGTACGGGGCCTGCAAACTGCCTGCTCGGAGACTTTCATGCTGGAGCAGAGTTTGGTTTAGTGCAAACAGCACCTGTAGAAATGCAAACAAGAACAGAAGAGGAGTTAAAAATATTAGGTATCAAAGAAGCAAAGTGTAAAAGGCCAAATGACTCAAAAAACTCACACACATATGAAGTTTATTGACCCATCCTGGCCCACAGCAATAAGGGCTGATTATCAGATATTTCCAACTGGAAGGGAATTCTAACTTTCTCTAGTAGAAGTCCTTATTATATGACCCTCGTTATTCCTCATAAGGTCTAACTTCACAACACTGCTCCTGCAGAGGAGACAGTCTGAGAGCTTTCAGGTTGTCTATGCAGACAACTTGGCTGCGTGGAAGACACTGGAATTAAAATCAGGAAGCTTGTATTTCCTTTCACTATTTCCTGGCAGCTATCTTAAATCCAAAGCCCAAACAAAATCAGAAGATTTTCAGTAAAAATCATAACCTTCCAAACTTAGGAAGTCGCTGATGTATTAGGGGGACATTCTGCATGCTTTAAAATCAGAAACATGAGGCAATTCACTGTCAGTCTCCCTCCTTTAGTCTTTCCTCTTCACCTACCCTTCTGCAAAACAGAGATATTGAATTGCTGTTAGTAGACACAGTACTTCTTATGAGGCCTCACCAAGGCAGAGTAATGGAGGAGAACTTCCCTTGACCTGTTGGCCACGTTCTTTTTAATGCACCCCAGGATACCATTGCCCTTCTAGGCCACTGCTGGCTTATGGTCAACCTGTTGTCCACCTGGACACACCTGCACAGAGGAAATAGAACCACTCTTTACTATTTACATTTCTGTACCCCCAAAATGCCCTTGATGATGATGAAAGCTTCTCACATTTGTAACAAGAGTGCCCTCTCCATTCCAAGTTATCATCTCAACTCTCGGGTAAGCAACACATGCTGAGTGCCAGCTGGCCCAGCCACGGCTGCAGTCTCTGATAAATATTCTTACTCACATGCCTAACTTTAAGTAAATGAACTGACTTTAAGATTAAATCCCAAAGGAGTTTAAAATTAATGATGTACCAATGTTTTTGCAACTTGGAAGTTCTTATTTGTTTACAAACACAGTTTCCACTGGAGTTGATCTGAAGGAAGGGAAACCGTCAACTGAATTTACTGCTGTAAAAGCTCAGGTATATAAGCAAATAAGATCTGAGAAAAAAATAAATTTAATTAATAAGAAAATAAAATTATCTCCAGGGCATTAACAGCCTCTGAATACAAAGCTGTTCGATGTTCACTAACACACACGTTCTGGTTGAGGGAAATAAAATGTTCCTTTTTAATTTACTTTTAAAAAACATAAAGATCGTCTTTCAAACGAACCTGCTGGGCCTCCACCCCACAACTGGTTGCCTCTTAAAATCCAAGCCTAAGAGATTTCCTCACTCAGATCTAAGGGTCTCATCGGGCTTTTCTACAAAGAGATCTATCTTTCCCAGGCCTGTAGCATAAAGCTAAGCATCTTCCTAACTTAGTTTTCCTGTAATTTAAAAAATCTGCAAAAAATACAGTTTAAAAATTTCTAACCTTTGAAGGATCTGAGCGTTCTCTTTTTTTTCCCCTAAGGGCTACAGCTTAAAGAGGAAACGGTTCATCCCAGGATTTCCTGGGGATTCTAAACATTTTGACTAATAAAAATAAAAGCTTAGAAAAACTTTGACAGGAAAACTGAGAGCAGAGCTTTTCCCAAAATGCTTTTAGTCAAATCCTTCTCAGTTTTGATTTTTTAAACAGTGGATGTTGCTGGAATTTTATACACAGAAATGCTCACACACACGCATATATATACAAACAGGCAGAAAAACCTTGAGCATAAGACAGATAAGACAGAGTGTTTTACAGTGAAATATTAAGGAGGCAACAAACAAATCCTTACTTTGCATTCTGAATGCTTTTTTTTTTTTTTTTTTTTGGTTACTTCAGCTTCCTGAGGAAACCAGTCCTTCGCATTCATGCTCTATGCTTCCTCCTAATAAATTTGGAACCTATTAGCTGATTTCAGTCATATTCGCAGAGGGTTAGAGCAAACTGCCTGCATGCTCCTTGAAAATAAGCATTTGGCTGCAGAAAGGGCCACAGTGTTTGCTCGCCTGTTTTAAAAAACCAAAGACATCACATGGGAGAGGAGTTGATCAGAGCTTGCAGCAGGAGATGGATCCCAGTGCATGGGCACCAGATTTATTACTATTGGTGCTTGTCTCAGGATGGTTGTGTTCCTGCTCTCTGCCCCTGTGCTGTAAGAGGACCTAGAAATACTGCCAGGTGAGCCCTGGCACACGGCTGACCTCATAGGGAAACCAATTTCTGCCTCCAAGCTACTGCCCAAAAAAACAACTGCAGAGATTGTATTCTGGGACAGGAGCTAAAGTATTTGCATATGCTCAAGCAAAACTTCAGCCACTTGAGAAGATTTCTAGAGAGCTGTTGCTTAACCAAGCCTCGGTCATCATGCTTTTGGGTTGAGCGGCTCAAAACACGCATAAGAAGAGGCAAGGTCTTGCAGCAGCTGCCTGCTCGCTGGATTTGTAGGCCATTTCCTCCAAAGTCAGATTAAAGCCATCTTAAAAGCTGCATTTATTTTTCCTTACTGTTCAGATAATGCCACAAAAACAATGCCGTTTCCTTTCCTGCTCCCTATCTTAATATCAGTGACCCTGTGACCTCCAGCCCAAACCTCTATCTGAGCTAAATCTCCCAGAGGTGCCTGAGATTACCGCACAACTGAGGGCTTCCAAATAAATACACTGAAAGCGACTGCCTATGCACAGTCCCACCTAATAAATACAGCAGACAGTATTTGTTCTGGGAAGTGATGGGAAGTTATGAGCTTGGTGCTGGGAAAGTGCATTTTATTCATGCAATTTACGATCCTGACAGCTGTGTGCTCTGAAGGCCAGTTTTGCACGGTTGTCTCTGGCCCCAGTTTGCAACCAATTGAACATGGACAACAGAAGAGGATTTTCACCCTTCCAAGAAGCAGGTTTTCTACCCATGTGGTGTCATCCTCCTGTGCAAAGCAGCAAGCCAACACAGATTTCATGCATGTTTGGAGATACCAGCCCTTATGGCAAACTTTAAACCTTACTGCTGTGCTTTATTGCCTAAGAGAACAGGTACCACCAACCCCACACAGCACCAGGAACAACTGGTCTGATCTTTTAGCAGCACTTTTGCACTATTGTCATCACATGGAAGAGGGGCCTGGACCTGGCCAGTTCTTCCATGGGAAGGTCAGAGATAGGCCTGGTACAGGAGGAAAGCTCTGCCTTACTGCTGACTTTCATTCAAAGTATTCCCAGGAAGGAGGAGATCTTCAGAATCCTCAACTTCAATTTCTTAGTGAACACAATGGCTCAATTTCTTAAATTTATGCCAACTGCTCTCTCCATCACCCAGCCCTTGTGCTGCTGCATCGCTTCAGCCCAGGAAGTAGATGACCATTAATGTCCCTTTGATCTTTGGCCATGGTCATCCTGGGCACTCCAGTTGCAGCCAAATCTGCAGAGACCAGCCTTTGCAATCCCTGTGCAAACCCGCTGCAGGTCTGACCAAACAAGCCTAATGAATACCCTAACAAAGGACTTTACTGATTACCTTGATGCTACAAACAGTATTTACTTCCCTCCACACATCTGGATTAGTCAGGAGTCAAATACTAATAGAAAGTAATGGCAGCAAAAGTCTATCTCGTGTTTAAATCATCTGAAATGCACAAACCACTTATTTTCAACTTCAAAAGACAAAAGATTGGAAAACCTCTGAACTACTCAAATAAAATGAGCAGACAAAACCTGTATGAGGTCTCAAGGTCCCAAAGGGGGCTGACATTGCTTAAAAATGTTTATACATGCATACATAACACTGCAGGTTGTCATTTTGAGCTTCATTTTTCCAAAGCCATGGCATTAGCTGGAGCAAAGGAGAAGCTGTCTGATTTTATGTTAGATTTCAATGAGATGTGGTTTGTGGATCCAGTCCACAGAAACAGCACTAAGAAAGCACTGCCACCTCTCCAGACAATGAGGAGAAGTGAGTTGATGTGCAGCTGGCCTTAGGAACACTTGAGGAGTTCTGTCACAGATCTCGTTCTCCATTGTATTTGGTTTTGGAAGCAAAGCAAGATAAAAATTCCTCTTATTCCAAGGTACTCTCACAAACCATCACAATGTATGGATTCTTTCCCATGACCATCACTGAACATCAGCTTGTGGAAGCAGAGGCAGCTGTGTCCATTCAGCTCTACGTTTTTAATACTTTTGCATATGTGAGTGAATTGACTTTAGTTGATTATCCTGTTATAGCTTTCCAAGTAAAACGTGCACATGCTCTGTCAGAAATCCATTTCGTTTATTAAACTCCTGCAGTTCTCCCAGTTCTGATGACAGCTCAACTCTGTGCCTATCACCTCATTTAGAAGGCAATACTATGGATTTCTAACCAAGTGGAAAGGTTCCAAGGACCACATCTTCAGTTTTCTGACTGTAGTTCCAAACAGTGCCACAATGGAAAAACAGCTTCATGTGGGCATCTAAGAAACCATTGTAAAGTACTGTAAGGAAGTGTTTTTACCAGGTCAAACACTTGAGTGGTCCCAAACTTCATAGGAACTATTTTGCTAATAAAACAGAAAAATCAGGACTTACAATGGAAGGAACAAAATTTGTGTTAGACTGAAAAGAAAGAGATCAACGTTCGTCTGGTGGGTTTGCTATTGAGATTGGAGAAGCAAAGGAAACTGTGAAAACTCTCACATCAAACTTTGCCATACATAAAAATTTGATTGCCCTGATGGAGAAATCACTCTCCAGTCCTAGACTTACTAAGGCTGAACCATAAGCATAGCATTCATATGACTCCAGTAGCTGGAGTTACAGGATGACCCCTGCATAGAACCATGATTAATAACAATTCTGCAAAAACAAGTCCTGAAGTTTCATAGCGTGATGTCATCTCTTGGGCAGGGAACTGTTGTTTTCTTTTGCTTTCTCTTCTGGACAAGTGCCAACACAATGCAA